TCTCAACATCATCAGTAAAAGAATAATAATTCTGCTACCTACCTCACAGAGTATTTATGAGTAAAGTGCTTCATAAATTGTACAGTGATATATGAGCAAATTATTATGATTCTATACTTTGATATTTCAAGGATCTGTGGTTTCATACATTTAGGTTATTCTTCTACTTTTACTGACACAGATCATTAACCATCCACACCTCAGAAAACTATTTAAGAAGTTACTGTAGCAAAAAATATTTAATACCTGAGAGCCAATCCTCTAGTGATGAGCATCTCTGAACTTAAGCTGGTTCTCAGATAACAGGCACAAAGTACATGCCTGGACCATATTTAAAGATTGGTGGGACTTACATAGCTTGCGCTCCACTGCCTTTCCATACTTCAGCATCTCTGGTGCAATGATGAGGAATTAGAAGCTTAAATCAATATATTTAAAATAATCATTATTTGGTTAATAAGGATCTTGGGCAAAGACACTCTGAGTCTTGCTTTCCTAAGGAGGTTGGACTGGTTGATTTCTAAGGACCCTTGTACTTCTAAATACTATGATATATGTCTAGACCTACACTCTAAAAATTTAACTAAAGCTAAAGCTAAAGCTCCTTTGAAGATGAGCAAAGTGAAAAGGTATTTTTTTCCGATTTGGCATCCAAGGACAAGGAAATTCAATGAAAAACTTTTGCAGATTCCTACAACATCCTTTAAAAACTTACATGAAAATATAGTATATAACATACATACATTTAACAAAAAATACACTACTTCTTTTACACATGCCACATTCACTTCTGAAAAAAAAACTGATCACTATAAACTATTCAAATACTTAACTTGTTTAGAAAAAAATGTTAAAATAAAAGTATCATACCTCCGTGTAGTGTGTAGAAACAGTCTGAGAATCAGTAGGAAACAGGCACTCCAAAAGCTCCATCTGTCCAACTGACATATCAATACTAAAATACCGAGAAGCTGATCTTTGCCTTTGTTCATAGGATACTTTGATGCCAGTACCAATAAATCTGTTGTGAAAAATATAATAACTGAAAATATCCACCTACTTGAGAATAAAAACTATGTAACTGATAGCTCAGATTTGCCCTTAAGAAATGACACTGAGGGAGGCAGGGCCAAGATGGCAGAGTAAAAGCAGTGACTTGCTTGAGCTCTCCCCCAAACTCCTCCAAATACCTGTAAAAATTGGCTCTAAACAAATTCTAGAGCAGCAGAACCTATAAAAAGACAGAGTGAAACAAATTTCCAGCCCAAGACAACCTGGGTGGTTGATCAAAAAGGTCTATTGTGCTGGGCTGGGAGAAGAGGGCACTTCAGCGTGGGCCCCACAGGCAAAGACCAGGCCTCAGTGAACCTGGAGCAGTTCCTCAGGGGAGATGTGGTGGTTTCCACACTTCTAAACTCACAAATGCCAAAGACAACTTAAAAGGTCAGTAGAAAAGGTGTGTCTGACTGTGGTGGAAGAGGAGCTCAGTCTCAGCCCCAGTCCCAGGGCAGCAGCTGCTTCCAGAGCTCTCAGCCCACAGATGGATCAAGTGGCTAATCAGAGAGGAATTGCAGGCATCTCTTTGCTGGGGCTGAAGCAGGATTCTCTTGCTTTGCCTGTGCTTGGATCTGGGTTGCAGTCCTGGGTAGTCCTGGGGCGAGGAGGAGCACTGGCATAGCAGAGCTTGTGGCAACAGTGGAAAGGGAATCCTCCTCACAGTCCCAAGGCAGAAAACAGGGCTTGTGATCACTCACAGACCAGAGCACAGGCCAGGAAAGCAATAAACACCTCACACTTGATTGTACCACCTTGGATAAACTGAAAATTTATAGGTTCTTAGAAGTATCTCTGAAAACAGCTACACAAAACTCCCAAAACTTGGGACAGTACATTCTCCACACTGGAAGCAGACCCCTACCTTAACAAAGAGTTTAAACCTCAAGTAATTGGCTGGGATCATGAGCAAACTGCACAAAAAAAGTCAGACCATAGAATCTTTCTTTGGTGATAAAGAAGTTCAAAACACACAACGAGTAGAAGACAACAAAGTCAAAGCTCCTACATCCAAAGCCTCCAAGAAAAATATGAATCAGTCCCCATGGAAGAGTTCAAAAAGGATTTTGAGAAGCAAGTAAGAGAAATAGAGGAAAAACTGGGAAGAGAAATGAGAACGATGCAAGAAAATCATGAAAAACAAGTCAACAGCTTGCTAAAGGAGACCCCCCCCAAAAAAAAATACTGAAGAAAACACCACCTTAAAAAATAGACTAAGGGACAGGTAGGTGGCACAATAGATAGAGCACCGGCCCTGGATTCAGGAGAACCTGAGCTCAAAATCTGGCCTCAGACACATAATACTTACTAGCTGTGTGACCCTGGGCAAGTCACTTAACTGAACTGCCTACCCAAAAATAAATGAATGAATGAATAAATGAATGAATGAATGAATGAATAGATAAATGGATAAATAAATGAATGAATGAATGAATGAATAAAATAATGATTGATAAATAGGCAGATAGTTAATAAATAAATGAATAAATACATACATACATACATATATACATAAAGAGCTGGCCCAAATGGCAAAAGAGGTCCAAAAAGCCAACGAGGAGAAGAATACCTTCAAAAGCAGAATTGGCCAAATGAAAAAGGAAGTCCAAAAGCTCACTGAATGAAATATGAAAAATCAAGAAATTGTAAAACAAAACCAAAAGAATGAAAAAATAGAAAACAATGTAAAATATCTCACTGGAAAAACAACTGACCTGGAAAATAGATCTAGGAGAGATAATTTTAAAATTACTGGACTATCTGAAAGCCATGATCAAAAAAAGAGCCTAGACATCAACTTTCAAGAAATTATCACTGGAAATTGCCCTGATACTCTAGAACCAGAGGATAAAATAGAAATTGAAAGAATTCACCCATCACCTCCTGAAAGAGATCGCAAAAGGAAAACTCCTAGGAATATTATAGTCAAATTCCAGAGTTCCCATGTCAAGGAGAAAATATTGCAAGCAGCCTGAAAGAAACAATTCAAGTACTGTGGAAACACAATCAAGATGACACAAGATTCAGCAGCTTCTACATCAAGGGACTGGAGGGCTTGGAATACAATATTCCAGAGGTCAAAGGAGCTAGGATTACAACCAAGAATCACCTACTCAACAAAACTTGCAGGGGAAAAAATGGATATTCAGTGAAATAGAGGACTCTCAAGCATTCTTGATGAAAAGACCAAAGCTGAATAGAAAATTCGACTTCCAAATACAAGACTCAAGAGAAGCATGAAAAGATAAACAGGAAAGAAAAATCATAAGGGACTTATTAAAGTTGAATGCTTACATTCCTACATGGAAAGATGGTATTTGTAGCTCATGAGAACTTTGTCAGCATTAGGGTAGTTAGAGGGGAAAAAATTTTTAAGTATAAACAGACACAAAGAGGCACAGGGTAAGTTGAAGATGAAGGGCTGATATCTAAAAAATAAAATTAAGAGGTAAGAGAGGATTATACTGAGAGAAGGAGAAAGGGAGAGAGAGAATGGGGTAAATTATCTCACATAAAACAGACAAGAAAAAGCTTTTACAGTGGAGGGGAAGAGCGGGGAGGTGAGAGGGAATGAATGAATCTTATTCTCTTCGGATTTGGCTTAAGGAGGGAATAACACACACACTCAATTGGGTATGGAAAGCTATCTTACCCTACAGGAAAATAGAGCGGAAGAGGATAAGAGAGTGGGGGGATGATAAAAGGGAGGGTAGATTGGGGAAGGGGGTAATCAGAAGCAAACACTTCTGAGGAGGGATAGGGTCAAAGGACAGAATAGAATACACAGGGGGTGGAATAGGATGAAGGGAAATATAGTTTTCCACAACATGCTATTATGGAAGTGTTTTACACATATAACCTGTATCGAGTTGCTTGCCTTCTCAATAAGGGTGGGTGGGGAAGGAGGAAAGGAGAAAATTTGGAACCCAAAGTTTTAAAAACAAATATTAAAAACTGTTTTCATATGCAACTGGAAATAAGATATACAAGCAACGGGGTATAGAAATATATCCTGCCCTATAGGAAAATAAAAAGGGAAGAGGATAAGCGAAGGGGGGAGAGGGGGCAGGTGACAAAAGGGAGGGCAGATTAGGGGAAGGGGTATTCAGAATGCATGCTGTCTTGGGGTGGGAGGAGGGGTGAGATTGGGAGAAAATTTGGAACTCAAAATCTTGTAGAAGTGAATGTTGACAACTAAAAAGAAAAAAAATGACATTGAACACCCACAGTGTCACTATTTTTGATCCTTCACACCCCTGAACCTCAATAGTCTTTGTCTTACTCCTCTTTTATAGCACCTGCCTCATAGTTATTTATGTATTTTTTCCTCTCTCAACTACTGAATTTCAAGCTCCCTAAAGGCAAGAACTACATGAATGTCTTATTTACCCTCACAGTAACTACTACATATGCCATTAAATAAATATCAACTTATTTGCCACGTCTGAGTTTCCAACAATTATCATTGCTAACATTTCTGAAGATGTTAAATGTAAAGATAAAATGTTCACTTTTTTCACAGGATGAAAATTGCCTCCCTATGCTTGCTAGTGAACAATTATTATCATAGACATATATATATTACTACTCCTCTATCACCTTATCAACATTTATCCTGTCATATATATTTATTTTCAAACATGTAAAAAGCAAGATACTTTTTGGTAGCTTCTCAAATTATGTGTTTTTATCTTAAAGAAATCAAATCAGACCTAAGTCTGTTGTGCGAGACATAAAAGTAATTTATAATCTCTATGGCTCCTTTCTATTGCTTTTTCTTTTAGTTTCCGATGTTAGAGTTTTATTCCCTTAAACTAGGAATACAGAGGGTAAAAGAAGATAAAGATCATTAAGACTGGTAGGTGGTAAAAGTTGATGGTCAATATAAATTTTATAAACTATCTGGGTGGAAAGGGGGAGGAAAGAATATCAAGAGAAAATTAATTCTTGATTCAAAATTAATGTTTTACATATTAAATGATCAAAGAATAAATGGCAAAAATAACTATTTTCAGGGCAGCTAGGTGATGCAGTGGCTAGAGCACCGACCCTAAAGTCAGGAGTACTCGAGTTCAAATCCAGCCTCAGACACATAACACTCACTAGCTGTGTGACTCTGAGCAAGTCACTTAACCCCAACTGCCTCACTAAAAAAAAAAAAAAAAAAAACAAACTAATTCCTATCTTCAATCTACATGTTCTAAATTACTGCGCACTAGAGTGATGATCAAAGTTATTATGATACTAAGTACACTTACAAATATTTACTGTACCTGCCTATTTAGCCTCTACTTAATGTGGATCAAAAGTAAGAAACTAAGATTCTATGTATGTCCTCAACCCACTTCATATTGTTTCTGGACAACTTTTAATTCAACACTTTTTGTTTCTTCCACTAAATCTGTACCATTTGCCCATTACAGTGAGTGGTATTAACAACTATAAACTACTAGTTGGAATGGCATAAAAGCAGGAAAAATAATATCTTAAAATAGGGTTGCATAACACCAAGGTAGGAGAGAGATAGGAAAATCTAGATTCCATATATTATATTGAGACTTTTGTTCTTGAGAAACCCAAATACGCTAGAACCCAACAGACATACGTACAGAACACTGTAACATTCATTTTCCATTCATTTACACTTATAGGCTGGATTTAAAATACAATTTGTAATAAATTACAAAGCTTACTTTTAAAAATCACTACTTAGTTTTTACTTACTCCAACAGCAAAAATTTTAAAACTACACATACCTAAGGTGGTCATGAGAGCAAGCCTCTCCAAACACTTCTCTGAAAGATGCAAAATCATGTGCCAGAAATCTTACTGGATCAATCTTTTCTATGCAATTAAAGAAATATAATGCCATTGGAGTCAATGGATTAAGGTTCAGAGAAGTTTCAGGTGGTGATAAAGGATCAATGTGAAGTACAGAGGCTGAAAAAGTTCCCACAGCTAATCTAAAAATAAATTCAGGCCTGGACTCATCCAGTGAAACAGATCTGGAAGGAAGAGCTGAAACACACAAATAAATTTCAAAATTATTTGCTGTAAATTTAATTTTCAATAGCAATATACAACATCTAAATTTGTAAAACATTTACTCATGTAATAACTTAAAAAAATAAGATGACCACAACAGTTTAAGTAATATCAGGAAATATTTTTTTAAAAAGAAAAGAAATTCAGTTATCTATCTGTATCTCATATCCAGTTCCATGATACCTGAAGGAGGAAAGAATGTTACAGAAGTAAATGTGTAAACAAGGCTTTTGCAATTTAAAAAAAAAAACAACTGAAAAAAGTTAAAGATTAACCAAACTCTGCTCACCAAATCTTCCTTTATGCCTTGTTTATTTCAATTAAAGTTTGCAGAGAAGAAACCTGAGGTTCTCTTTTAAGGAAAGTAGAAACAGTGAAACAAAAATCAGATAGTTAAGACTCCTACACTGTAATAACAAAATGTAATTTTTATGGTATTATGTTTTCACTAAAAATATTAATATTTAACAGACATCTATGTTGAGATAATGTAAAATTAATAGTTCAACTGTTTCATTTTCTTCATAAATTATACTGAATTGCCTAAACTAACATTTGTATTATGATGGGAACATGAAAGCAGCAACAATGGTAATTTGTAAATAAATCAAAGATTTTCAACTGGAAGATTATAATAAGGAAAGAATGAGTGAAAGTCACTTTTGTTTTTACTTACAAGTCCTTTGTAAAGATGTCTGGTGAATTAAGTTGGATGAAAACGGAGGTCCTTTGATTGGTTGTTCCTCTTTATGCTGATCAAGAAAGTCTTCCCAAGTTGGCTGAAGCTATAATAGAAAAACACAGTTGCAGGACAAAAATGCATATTTTTTTGAAGAACACAGTAACAACAACCCAATAACCAGAATAAGTTATAATTTACCACAGTGGCACTCAATGGAGATCCTGCTGGAGTATTTGTGAATGTACTAGTTAAGGAGAGATCAAGATCCATATTTGGGGGATCTCCAAGAGGAGGAAGAGATGAGAGACTATGGGACATATCCATATCAGCCATGGAGAAGAAAACTTCTTCTTCTGGGAAAAAATATACTTTGTTAATTTCATTGTAAATGCACATAATCTAATTTTTAAAATAAAGTGGCATGTTGTAAATGATTCCATATTTTGAAGTTTAGAAATGTATATTATTATTTAAAAAAAACTTTTTTGTATTGAGGAAATATTTTAGTAAATAGAAAGAAAAAAATAATTCAATAGTTCAGTGGAACCAGAATTCCATCAATGGAGATACTCTTTCCAGTTGTGAAGATCACAACCAATCTATCTATTCTTTCTCATGCAATGCAATTCCTATCAAAGACCTCCTATAAGGCTTCTACAGAAGACCCCATCCAACATGCCTCTGATCATCTGAATCCAAACTCACAGAACAAATCCCCTTAATTAAAGGATTTGCTCCGTAAAACTTGGACTCAGTCAAAAGGCCATACCCAAGGACCTAAAAGGCCACATGTGGTCCATGAGTCTGCAGGTTCCCCATCCCTATCTAGGTCTTTTAACATTACTATTAACGAAAAACATAAGCCTGTCATGCTTGACCAGCCTTTTTCTAGGTCTTGCCTATGCCTGCACGGAAGTAACCTGAGCCACAAGAATGGTACAACAGCTTTGAAGTGTGACCTTGAACTTTCTTATCACCTGCCTTCTTCAAAAGACCTCTCCATTCACTGATACTCTGCTTGAGCTCAATAAAGTATGATTAATATAGCTCTACTCTCTTAGTGAGAGATAGGTGAGAACCCTAGCTTCACCTATCTAATCCCTCATTCCTCACCACCTCAACTTTATTCAGCAATGCCCCCTGTGTCTCACTGCAGATCTGCCCATTCATTCTATTATACTTCTAGAATGCCCATTGCATAATTAACAAACTTCTTTTCATTTTAAATCTCTTTTGTTCTCTTTTCTTTTACTTTCTGACACTGGACACTGCATCCCCTGCCATCCTTTCCAGTACTGGCTTCACATCTCCAATGTTTCTTTAAGTCATTGGTCCCAATAACTCAGACTATTTTTTGCTCCCCATCACCACTTCCAACTCTCTTGTAACTGCCACCATTTGCCAATCTACTCTTCCCTTTTAGGTTCATGATATCCAAATTATACCTAATCCAAATTCTGGTGCCCTTTATCTACAAACTCCCAGGACATTCTCCCTCCCTTCTCAATAAGTTTAGTGCCTCACAGTAGACTTCTCCACCCAAACTCTTGCTTTCATACATCATACTTCTTATATGCTGATATTCCTTCAAACACAGCTTAGTCTATTAAACTTCCATGACCTATTCCTCCATTCCATTCAACTTACATACTAAGATTGTTATCTTGCCATCACAAGTGTTTCCATTTTTGGATTCAAGAACTCCAAAATTCCTTTATGATTCTATCTCTCCCTTTGCCTTACAACCTTAAAACTATTCTTCATCCTCACTACAACATCCAACCTTCATTACTCTTTCCCAGGACATAACCCCTGTTTTGGCTACACACTCTCCACCTTTCTCAGTCTCAATCTCTTAATGAACCAATTCAACTCTACATTTTCCTCTACTCCCAAACTCCTTAGCCCTTGGTCTCATGCCTTGCCAAAGCTCAATCCTGGATTCTTCCACAATCCTCCTTTATTCCTAGTCATGTGCTACAGAAGAGAACTAGAAGCTACTACACCATGCTCAATGAGTACACCAAAAAAACTATCTAATCTTTTTAAATGATTTTTTTATTTCTCTGTACTTGACAAACATCAGTTAATATGAACATTTATAACAGAGTGTCCTAGAAGTCTCAGTTCAGTTTTAAGTCTATTAGCTTTTGTTTTAAGCTTATTAACTTAAAACTGAACTAAGACTTCATGGATTCCCTATATATGTAAAGAACGGAAAAAAGAGGATAGTTTATAAAATCATAAATCTTTATTACAAACTGCTTGTATTTTTTTAAGCATATAATTCAACATATTAGTTTTAAAGCGATCCTTGTTTTCTGTGTGCCCATCCAAACCACCTGTTTTCTTCTCTGTATTTTGATAAATATTTCAATAACCCTCTAATTTCTTTTCTTCCTTTTTTAACATTTCTATCATTCAGGCCCCCTTTCCTCCTTTCTTCCACCCCTAAATCCTGCCCCAGATTTTAAAAAAATTCCCATTTAAACAAATAAGCATAATCAAATAAAAAAAATAAGCATAATTCACATATGAGGTATCCAAAAATGCATACCTCTTTCCAAATCTCAGATCCAACACCTATTCATCAGGAAGCAAATAGCATGCTTCATCTTTGGTCTGGAGTAGTGCTTGGTCATTGTGCACTGGTTAGAGTTCTTAAATCTTTCAAATTTGTTTTCTTTATAATATCATAATCACTTTATTATTATCCAATCTCAAATGGGCCCTCACAGTTGGAAGGCAATCCTTCTACTCCTCCTTAACCAAGTCAATACTCCACTAAATACAGTGACTATTCCAAATATTCTCTTTGTTCTTCAAGTCTCCCATGTTATCTACTCCACCATTCCTCTCAGCTGTTTGGCAAAAGGGCATTCTCCACTTCTCATATTTCCCACATCATAGTCTACTATCTCCTCTACCCCAGACACCAATGCTAATTTCTTTACAAAACCCCTCCATTTTCTCCAACAGATAGTATCCATCCCTCTCTTACTACCACTACTACTACTACTACTACAACTACAACTACTACTACCACCTCCTCTTTCCCACTTACCTATAATCATACCCACATGCCCTTCATTCTTTAAAAAAAAGGAAAATCCCTCACAAAAGCATACCATTCTCATTACCAATTATCCTATCTCCCTTCACCCCTTCTCAGTTAAATGCCTTGAAACAGCAATCCAAAGACCATGCCTCCACTTCATTTCCTCTCCCTCTCTTCAAAACCTTCTGCAATCTGGCTTCTGACATCATCATTCAATTAAAGTCTCCAAAGTTATCAATGAGCTCTTAATTGCCAAATCTAATAGCTTTTTCTCAATCTTCATCTTTCTAAAGCTCTCTGCAACATCTAACACTATTGATCATCTTCACCTCCTGGATGCTCTCTCCTCTGATTTTTTTTTTTGAAACTGTTTCTCAAAACAAAAAAAAAGGTAAGAAAGAAACTGTTTCTCTTGGTTCACTTCCTATCTCTTTAATGACTCCTGTCTTTTTTGTTGGCATTTCATTCATGGCTAAATGTGAATGTCCCTCAAGGCTTTATCCTGAGCTCTCTTTTCTCTCTTTTAATGATCTTATCAACTGCCAGGGGTTTAATCATCATCTCTATACTGGTGACTCTAAGATTTCTCTGGGCCAAGTCTTGCACTTAAGCTTCAATCCCACATGAGTTACTAAAGCTATTCTGGCCCCTTCCTAGTATTCCAGTCTTCTTACACATTATTCCCCTTTCATTAACACTATGGTCTACTTATACAGGCAACTGCCATTCCTCAAACATGGCACTCCATTTCCTGTCTCCATGCCTTTGCACTGGCTATTTCCTACTACTGGAATGCTCTCCCTCTTCACATCTACCTCTTATAATGTGTGATGCATCTCAAGACTCAGCTCAAACACTAAATTCTGCAGGAGATAGTTTTTGTTTCCCCACCAGCCAGTGACTTTCCCTCTAATGTTCCCTTCAATCTAATCTGTAGATCTCTTATATGTATATGCTATTTCACATTCTCGAATATAATTACTACCCTTGAGAGTAGAAGATTTTACATTTGCTTTATGTGGCACAAAGCAAGTGATTAATAAATTATTGACTGAAGATCCATTTATTATCTCTTTCTCCAGTTTGCCTACTCCTACCCTTTTTTGTTGTTGTTGCTTTTTTTTGTTTGTTTGTTTTTTACCCCTATCTTTCTAAACATGTTTTCTTTTTTTCTTTTTTTAACTGGGTCTCCCTAATATTGCCCAAACTAAAAGTACAGTGGCCACACATAGGCCTGGTCCCAATACTGATTGGCATAGAAGCTCTGACCTGCTCCGTTTTTCCAACCTGGGCCAATTCACCTCTCCTTAGGCAACCTGGTAGCTTCCTAATCTGACGGCTCACCATACTGGTGCCAAAGACTTCATGAAAACACCCAATCAACTTTATTCCTACTACAGCTTAGAATTCTCAAACTCAAAAGATCATCCAGCCTTAGCCTCCCCAGCAATAGGAACAGGTGGGTACCACCACACCCAGCTGATCATATATTTTCATGACATCCCTCCCATTACTAATTTTTTTGGGGAGGGCAAGGCAATTGGGGTTAAATGACTCGTCCAGGGTCATACAACTACCTCCCATTACTTCCTGAACATGGGTTATCACTGGTCATATGATGCTGCCTACTGAAAACGAATACCTGCCTCTCTACTGTACTGAGATCACATGCAAATTTGATTCTGAGATTGTGGCATTAAATGACTATACAGCCAAAAGAGACACAAAATATCAATATTTCATTATTTTGCTACAATGCAGCTATGATGTCTTGAATAGCGGCATTTTCTCCATCAAATGAGATTACCACCTAACCATATTTTTTCATCTTTCATGACTGAGGCCCCAGTAGAGATCCTTAAGAGCAGCTAGGTGGATTGAGCGCCAGGCCTGGAGTCAGGAAGACCTGAATTCAAATCCAGCCTCAGATACTAAGTGTTGACCCTAGGCAAGTTGCATTGCCCTGCAAAATTAGCTGGAGAAGGAAATGGCAAACCACTCCAGTATCTTTGCCCAAATGAGGTCACAAAGAGTTGTACACGACTGAAAGGACCGAACAGAGATCCTCCATTGTCCTCATTATCCCATTCCCATAGTTTTAAAATAAAAAATGTACTCAATACATATGTAGATCACTAGCTACACAAATTATAAAAATGAGAAAGCAAACATAGGTGGAATTATTGTCCTCAAGATCCTTTTTTCAGGGAGTAGTATCATCTATGATTTTTTTTGTTCTTTTGGTTATCTTCCATACACTGAAATATCTTGCAAAACAAATTATTAATTTTTTCA